TCGGCGGTGCCGCCCGGGCGCCTCGAGAAGCCGCCCAACAAAGAGGTGGCAGTCGCCACTGCACCTGTCGGGCCCTTGGCGCCGGGCAACACCCAATCTCGTCTCACGTTACTGTAGGCGGCGGCAAAGCCTCCCCGAGAGAAGGCTGTCGCCGAGGCCGCACCGGGAAAGGCGGCAAAGGTGACGGCGGCGGCGGCGGCGGCGGCACCAGAGGCGGACGAAGCCACCACCGAGACTGCGCCCGGGTGCAAGCTCGCCGACAAGCGGCGGCGCAAGAAGGAGAATGCGCGCGAGAAGCAGCGGCGCGAGTTGGAGGAGGACGCGCTGCTGCAGGATCGGATCCGCGAGGTGGAGGAGGAGAAGCTGCGGCAGCGCATTGAGGCCCACCAGAGCAGCTCGAGCGGCCAGGCGCTTTTCCAGCAAACGCTCACTCCCCTTCCCCCTGTTCCTTCAGGATGCGTCAAAGGAGAAGGCTCAGCTGGCGGAGGCCAAGGAGGAGGCTCGGCTCGCGGCGGACACGACCAAGCTCACCAAGGTGGCCGCCTCGCCGCCGCGGCCGCCGCCTCCTAGACCGCGGCCGCTCGCCATGGCGGAGCGTTGCTTCACCCACGCGCCTTCCGGGCTCGTCAAGCAGATCGAGGTGTTCGAGGAGGTGCTGCGAGAGATGGTCCGTGATGGAGACGTCGACGCCGTCGAGGGGATCCTCGATGCCGGCCTTGACGTGAGCGCGCCGCAGGAGACGGACGGGCGGACGCTGCTGTTCCACGCGTGCCGCTACAACCAGCCCGCCATGGCGGAGCTCCTTCTGCAGCGCGGCGCGACCGTCGACGTCGAGGCGCTGAATGTGGCTGCGATACTCCGTCGCCCGGCTCTCGTACGCCTGCTTCTGGACCCGAAATGGGATGTGGATTACGAGGTCGTTGACTCGGCCTTAATCAACGTCGAGCGCATGACTGACGGCAAGATCCACGAGGGCCCGATTTCACCATCCGAGCCAAAAGTGTCCGATGTGCTCCTCGCCTTCCGTGAGGCGGGCTTCTGCCGAGAGAAGGGGTTCGTCCTCTACCGCTCTGCTATGGAGTTCACGCAAGTGGGCGGTCCCCCCACCGTGGTCGAAATGTGCCCTCCCCTCCGCGAGCGAGGCTACGGCGTGAGCAGCGTCTCATTCCATCTCGACCGTGAACAGGTACCTCGATGCCGGCCTGGACGTCAACTTCTCGGTGCCGGTCGCGGAGGACACAATCACGCTACTGGCGCTCGCGTGCGAGAACGGCAACGCCGAGGTGGCATCGCTGCTGCTGAGCCGGGGAGCGGTGGAGTCCAGCGCTTTGTGCCGCGCTGTGGTGGGCAGGCACGCGGACGTGGTCCGCGTGCTTCTCGCAGCGGGGCCGAGTCGCAAGTACATCGACGAGGCGGCGCACCTAGCCGGACACGTGGCGGAGGAGCGTAAGCTCTACCACTGCGATGTGCTCCAGGCATTCCTCGAGGCGGGCTACCTCTGCTTCTACTCAGCCAGAGGAGTCACCGACGCCGAAGCCGACCCAGAAGTGGTCGAGGCGTACCTCAACGCCGGCGGCGACGTCAACTACTCGCTTGTGGTTGTCCGGCCGGGCTCGCGCAAGCGCAAGACCGGCCTCACGCTTCTCATGCTCGCGTCTCTCAACGGCAACCTTGAGGTGGTGCGCACGCTGCTGCGCCGCGGCGCGGCGGCCGACCGGAGGGCTAGCAACGGCAACAGCGCGCTGAGGATGGCTCTCACAGTTGAGCCTATGCCCAAGATCGACGGCCGCGTGGTCCGCATCCAGCCCCAGCAGCGCGTCGCGATCGTGCGCGAGCTCATCGAGTACGGTGCGGCGAGCGGCGATGACCTCGGCAGAGTGCTGTTTGAGGCCGAGCAGCGGCGGAAGCGCGCCAAGGTGAAGGCGACGATGAAGCTGGAGTCCGAGATCGTCAAGCTCCTCGTCCCGCCAAAGGGGGACAAGAAACCCTCCCTCTTCCCAGGCGGGTGACGCCGGGCGACGGGCCGCCTCCGCCAAATTGTTACTTGGAGCTCCTCCCCCCTGGCCCGTGGGGAATGCCCCCCCCGGCCCAATGAACGAAAAGTCCCTTTCCTGTATCCTCCGCGGGGAAGCCTTTGGCCACCCCGCACCTTTGTTCAAGGGCCCTTC